TAGCAGAGATGGGTTTTCACCATATTGGTCAGGCTGGTCTCAAATTCCTAGTCTCAGGTGATCTGCCCACTTGTCTCCCAAAGTGCTGGGATTACAGGCATGAGCCACCATGCCCAGCCGTCACTTTGTTACAATATGTTACTTTCTCTTTGATCTACTTTTTGTCACATTCAGGTGATCATTTTATTTTGTTTGGTTTTTGAGACAGTGTCGCTCTGTCGCTCAGGCTCAGAGTGCAATGGTGCAATGGCGTGATCTTGGCTCACTGCAACCTCTGCCTCCTGGGTTGAAGCTATTCTCCTGCCTCAGCCTCCCGAGTAGCTGGGATTACAGGTGTGCACCACCATGGACAGCTATTTTTTGTATTTTTAGTAGAGTCTGGGTTTCACAGTTGGCCAGGCTGGTGTCGAACTCCTGACCTCAAGTGATCTACCCGCCTTGGCCTTCCAAAGTGCTGGGATTACAGGTGTGAGCCACTGCTCCCGGCCTTTGTTGATTGTTTTGGACCTTTTTTGTGGTATTAGCACTTTCTCCCCAATAACTAGGAACAATGACTCTGTCCCCACATTATTCTGGAAAACGAAACTTTTCACTTTCAGAAAATGCATGTAATTGGTCAAAAAGGCACTCTTTCTCTTTAATAACTGCTGCTATTTTCTCGGTACTTTATTCTGTTCAGTGCCTAGCCTGCTTGTTGGGTTTAAACTGCCAATAAAATTATAATAAACAATGATAACAGGTCCCCCCACCCCCCTCAACTTTTTAAGTATTAAATCATTTTCTTTTGCACACTTCTCATTTTTTTCTGTAGCGTGCCCAACTTCCACCAAACTTAGGTGGGAGATTTTACAAAGCTACATACATAAAGCTGACTTTTTGGGAAATCCATGAATTAAAATGATCTGGGTTTCCCAAAAAGGAATCATCTTAAAATACAGGTTGGACTGGAAGATTTCTAAATTTACTAAGCACATGTCTCAACATAAATTTAGTGCTGATAATGAGGTGCACTGGCATTGATTAGAATTAAATGTTCTTTCTTCAGGATAAAATAGAGCAGCATGGCTAGTCTGCTCTGTTTTCTGGTCTTGGTTCAGATCCAGCATGTATTCCTGGCAAAGATAAATTGTAACACAAATACTTTGTTATTACAAAGGGAAGAAACACTCACTTTCTATCTCATCTCTCCCCACCCGGCCTAATGAAGTAGATCAAATTTAAACCTATGTTCTTGAACTGAAAGTAAACAAATGAACTAAGTCATTTGGTTAGACATCTTGATGATGATGAAAAAGGAATAAAAATTACAATTCTAAGCTGGATGGAGAGACCTGAAAAGCATAAAGCCTAACCTAGGAGAAAAATGTTCTGGATTGACTATAGACAGCTATGACACCAGTGTTATTTGGAAAAACAGCATGATTTTTAGCTCTTAAGAGCTAAATTTAGACTCACCTCACTAGACAGTCAATGAAGTCCACAACATTTTCTCTGAGTACTTCAAATTTGGTTGGCTTCTTACTTCTTCTTAACTCCTTCATTTCCAGTAAGGACTATGAATAAAAGAACATACATTTTCTGGTGTTTCTGAGACAGCCCCTCACAGGGACATACTGTGGCTCAATTTCTGCTCTATATTGTGAATATACATTTTTTAAAAATCAAGAAAAGTAACTAAACCTAATGATTTAGGCACTTTTAAATCTCTCAGTTTGATCAAATCAAAAAATACATCAGATAACTAATCGGATTTCTTTTGTGTAAACATGTTCCAATTTTCTCTTATTGCTAGCTAATTCTCTTTTTTTCACTAAGCCCGCAGGAAGAGTTTCCACCTAAGTTAGCTAGTAGATTCCAGAATGTGTATATGTAGAGTGACAATGAGATGAAGAGGATGTTCAACTTAGAAGTGAGCTAAAAGTCTGCTTTGTTCCTGGTTCTTTTTTCTTTTTTTCTTTTTTTTTTT